AATGTTATGAAGAGTGATCAGATGAATTGCAATTAATTGCAGAGTCCCTCTTTGCCATGAAAATGAACTTAATCCCAAAAAAATCCTTTTCCACTGCATTTCAGCCCTGCCACAAACGGACCTGCTGACATCATTTCAGTGATTCTCTCGTTAAAACAGGTGAGAGTGTTGATGAGGACAAGGCTGGAGATCACACTGCCATGCCGATTGAGTTAGAATAGCAGACTGGATGCTTTAAAAGGAGGGTGGTGCTTGAAATCATTGTTCTTCCTCTTTTAACCATGGTTACCTGCAAGGAAACATGTGCAGTCATCATCGCTTTGCACAAAAAGGGCTTCACAGGTAAGGATGTTGCTGCTAGTAAGATCTCACCTATATTAACACTAGAAAGACTGACTGGGTCAATTGACCCAAATCAAACAAAATCACTGCTATTTCTCATTGAAGTTCTTGCTACAAAAATCTGAAAAAAGTTAGCTTCAGTTAGCTTTCGTTTGACAGCTCATGCATATTTTGGCCAAGCATTTGCCGCAAACAGGACGCTTGCACGTGTCACAGGTAGTGACAGTTTTGTTGCGTTTACAAGCGACCGTGACTTGACAGCTGACTCTTCTCTCAAGTTGCCCTGTCGGTGATGGTGTTATGACTATTATGTTATTGTTATTATGACTTGGTTATCTAATTCATTTGCATGACATTACGTCAATTGACCCAGTCAGTCTTTCTAGGTATATACTGCTGTAAAATACTAATTTCACCAGCAACTTCATTTGTGTTACCATGTTCTGTTCAAGAATGATAAAAAAATAAAAGTCAGATTTTTTCAGATTTTTGTAGCAAGAACTTCAATGAGAAATGGCAGTGATTTTGTTTGATTTGGGTCAATTGACCCAGTCAGTCTTTCTAGTGTTAACCATTTATCGGATCATCAAAAACTTCAAGGAACTACAAAAACTACTGCAGCTCGCTCAGGAATGGCAGCAGGCAGGTGTGAGTGCATCTGCACGCACAGTGAGGTGAAGACCTTTGGAGGATGGCCTGGTGTCAATAAGGGCAGCAAAGAAGCCACTTCTATCCAAGAAGAAACATCAGGGACAGACTGATATTCTGCAAAAGGTACAGGGGTTGAACTGCCAAGGGAGTGGGCTGAGAAGCAAGCTCTACACTGGTGGTGCCCCCATCCCACAGCTGAATCAACTTTGGAAGACGGTCCTGGCCCTTGCTGGACTTCCTTGGGCGCCCTGAAGCCTTCTCACAATTTTGCCTAAAGAATGGTACCAAAACACCCTCCGAGAGCAACTTCTCCCAACCATCCAAGAACAGTTTTGTGATGAACAATGCCTTCTTCAGCATGATGTAGCACCATGCCATAAGACAGAAGTGATAACTAAGTGGCTCAGGGAACAAAACATTGACACTTTGGGTCCATGGCCAGGAAACTCCCCAGACCTTAATCCCATTGAGAACTTGTGGTCAATCCTCAAGAGGTGGGTGGACAGATTCAAAACCCACAAATTCTGATAAACTCCAAGCATTGATTATGCAAGAATGGGCTGCCATCAGTCAGGAATTGGCCCAGAAGTTGATTGACAGCATGCCAGGGCCAATTGCAGAGGTCTTGAAAAAGAACAGCCAACACTGCAAATATTGACTCTTTGCATGAACTTGATGTAAGTGTCAATAAAAGCCTTTGACACTTATGAAATGCTTGTAATTATACTTCAGTATACCATAGAAACGTCTGACATAAAGATCTACAAACACTGAAGCGGCAAAACTTTATGAAAACCAACACTTGTGTCATTCTCAAAACTTTTGCCCATGACGGTAAGTGTTAATGTTCCTATGGTTGCCTCAGTCTGAAGGTGTCACCTAAATATGTAATAATATTAATAATAACGGAAGTAAAATCTTGCAGAGCTAAACAATGGTTAGCTTCCTTTCTGTAAGTCTTGGATGTTAGACTCTTCTCCATGGACCCGTGCTGGAGATTGATCAGCATAAGATCTATCCTGGGCGTTCCTGCAGGGATTACCTTCTTAAGCCTAGTGAATGTTCAGGAAAGCTGAACATGAAGTCTCATTCAGAGGGTTCTCCAGGAGACTCCACCTCCTAGACAAACAGCCGATAAGTTCTCCCAGTCTGCTGATGCGGATTCTTTCATATGTTGGGCCTCCAGAACCATGTGGGCCTACAGCCCTGGACCCAGCTCTAGCATGTATATCTAATAATGCAACAAAAGTTTGACTTTGGATCAGAACAGTGAACTATGGAGTGGAGATCATATTAGCAGTTAATTACATACACATGTATGCAAACAGGCTTTTCATTTTAATCTCATTTTCTGAAATTTGTTAATGTATATGGGGAATTACATACACCCCAGCAGTTCTGGGTGGGAATTAATGAGTTCTTCAGGGGGGTGACCTCGCATCTATTGAATCTGGGCTGGGCTGAGGCAGACTCACTCTCCTGCCTGCCAGTCATTCAGAGCCATTAAAACGCTGCAGAGCGACCGTTAGCGAGAGCACCGGAAGCTAACCAGCACTTAATTACCAGAGCTCTGACAAGGCCGCAGTGCGAGGCACGCAAGCCTGAATGATAACCACCATCTGCGGTACTCAAGGTCGTCCAGGTCCTTCTTAAGGCGCCCAATGACAGGCACAAAGTGAACATGAGATGACCTTCGGAAGGCACTTATGTTCTACTAGTACTTAGGGGAACCATATTACTCTAAAAGATTATGCATCTGTTTTATGTTCTGGTCTGGCTGCTTGTATTTATTTGTGTCACATCTAAAACATATAAAGTCATATTCAAAACACGCTGCTCTGATACCTGTAGGACAGGAGGCTTATTCAAATGCTTTGGCAAATAATTATCGATGCGGCGACAGGACAGAGAAAAGCTCCCCTTTATAGAAGCGGGACAAACTGATTTTTGCACTTTGCTTAGAGCTGCCTGTGGCAACACTCGAACCCTGACCTAAGTCTCTTAGTATGGTGACTTAGTGATCACAGCATTGCTCCCGCCGAATTTATGCCCTAACTGACATAATTACTTTCATAATGAACATGCCTTCCCCATTACCCATTACAAACAGGCAGTGCACATTTGTGGTACCACAGGCAGCTTGTTTACCAGGCTTCTCCACACTTTCTCCTGAATTCCCACGAATGTTGAGCCGCAGCTTCGGGGGTGTCGCGTCGTCCCCGTAAGCGGAGCCCCCCTCAGCGTCACCCTCTCCTGATTCTGCCGTAACGCATGTCATTAAACGCGAGCCCTCGCAAACACCCCCCCCCCCCCCCAGCTTATCGAAGAAAGCATAAGGAAGCCGCTCGCTCATCCTGACTCCTTGACACCCACAGCGTTGCCTGTGTTATATGCTGCTGTTAAACTCACATTGTAGCCATATCTGCAATATACTAACATACAAATTGCTGTCATTTATACAACGTTGCGAACGCAGCTATTATCTAATTAACACTGACAATGCTGAAGACATATTCATTGGCACATGTGAATGTAATGTCGTAATGTGTGAAACGATGTTACAATTATGATACAATTTACGATTGATGACCTAGTAAAGGAAATGTGGCATGGGAGGATGTGTCTAAAGCATCCCAGCTACTAACTTAGATGAATAAACCCACTTTCTATAGTTTCTATAGTTACAGGATCCAACAGCAGCCGCCGTCACCTCTGCTTTCCAGTTCCCTGTATAACCTCCTGTCCAGTTACATCCCTGTTAGAATAACATAAAATTGTAGGAATTATTTCAGGTTCATTCCAGGGGTACATCTGTAGGAGTGTTATGACTTTTACCTTTGTGGATATCTCATGGCACAAGTAACACTTGATTGAATGAGGAATGCAGAGTGTATCGTGGTGATGCTGCGGTTCCTTAATTAACAGCCATTAATGAAGTTAAACGGATTCATCTTTATGCATTTGAAGGTGAATATACATGTTATCCAAACACATGTAGCTGCTAAGTTGTAATTCAGCTCCTGTAGCTGGGTTTCCATTAAAGTTTTGTGCAAATAATAAGAAAATTCTCTCTAAGTCGACAAAGTTAATTTGAGATTGAGATCCATGTGCTGTTCTTCAGCATGGAGTGGGCTTTCTGGAAGGACTAATTACTGTGTCCTACATATCTACTAATTCACATATTCCTTTTGTAGTCTTGCGTATTAATTCTTTTTTTGACTCGCCACAAAAACCACCTCAGGCGAATGTGAAAACTTTTGTACAATAATTGAGAGTTTCTTTATATTTGAGTGCTTCCATTAACGGTTTTTCAGTTCACATCTTCAAAACGTAGGTTGACAGAAACGCGACTCGTGCTGCTGGCCGGAAAGCTGAGGGGCCGCCCTCCCCCCCCCTCTCCTGTGATGCTCGTCAAGCCTCAACGCAGCACTCAGTCCGTACGGGGCTGACGCCTGTGAAAGCTAATTTAATTAATTAAATTTCACATGCGTCATGGTCGCCTTGACCTGGCACTCGGCTGGGCGGTTTAAGCTAATTAAGAAGGTAGAGCTCTCTTACTGCATCTGGGCGGTGATGCTTCCTACTGAGAAAATCCATCCCATCCTTATGGATGGTCTCCCATGTAAAGTGGGAACTCAGACGCGTCAAAACGCGTCACACACTTCCAATAAGGTTAAAGCGCTTTACAGTGATCTGCACCCATGGATCTGTGTTTTTGCATGTAAATGTGAATATTTATGAGACAGTCCATCAAATATTAAGTTTATTATTATAATATTCATTCAGCAAGTCTCTTTTGTACTTTTTGCCTGGAAGCTGTTTCATGAACTATTTCAGACTTTGTCCACTGTGTTTCGTTTTTAAGCTCAATCTGATCCCCTTCCCTCCTCAGATGACTTGTGTTTCCAACCTCAAGACACAATAAGGAAGGGACAGAGGCTAGATATGTACAAACATTTAATGAATATGCTTTACAAAAACAATAATACATTAAAACATTTGGTCATTTCCTTTTTGTACAAAAAGAAACCGCACAGCTTTCCTGGATGCTTCCAGCATGTGACACGGACATGGTACAACTTAAAGAGGTCTGCTTGACGTCTACAAACACGGCGGGCTATTTACAGACCACCCTCACATGTGATGGCCTCTCATAGGCGGTCAGGTCACCACGTTCCCCTGTGAGAGCGACCTGGTCATCTCCGTGTGGACGAAGAAGGTCATCAAATCACCCTTGCCCTTGACGTTAATGACTCCTCTACAGGTACACGTGTAGCCCAGGTTATGAAGGATCTGCCGAGTCTCGTCCGTGACCTGCGAGCAAAGCAGTGGCATGACCCTTTCACAGAGCCCGGTCTGTTTGAGTCATCTGAATCTCAAACGTTCAAACCTACGAAATGTGCCTCTCTCGTATAAGCATACAACTGAATCGTACAGAAGGCGCTTTTATGAAGGACATTTATTTTTCTCTGACACTGATATTTTCACAGCTCACAGTATAATAACTCCATTATAGGAAAATCTGTTAAAATAGTTTGAATACGACACCAGCACCTTCTAATAATAAACGGTCTGGTCTTTAATGGCAGAGCGGCGTGTGTAAAACCCAGTCACCCTAATCAGAGGTCATACACTCACGCTTTCAGTCCTAATGGCTACAAAAATCATACAATAAGGCCTGAAAATGCTCAAGGCTGGAAGCAAAAGGAGATGGTCGGCAGGTACCTGTATCTTCCCCAGTACTCCAGTGCTGTCCATCCTGCTGGCTACGTTCACCGTGTTCCCCCAGATGTCGTACTGGGGCTTCTGCGCCCCAATCACCCCAGCGATCACCGGTCCGTGGTTAATGCCTTGCAGGTTAGAAAGACACTTTTCTGTCATCATCATTTTTCATATTGGTTTTTTTTCCCCATTTCTGAAACCCCCCCCCCCCAGATTGATCCTGTGTCTCAGTCAGGGGCGACTGTAGGATTTGACCCTTAGGAGGGGGTTCAATACCTGCTAGGGTTGGCACTTTTACAGGGCATATCGCTAAATGGATTTAGAAATTTTTTCAGGGGGCTGAGATAAAAAATATGGTGGTTGAAGCCCCCCCCCTAAATAGGTTTTAGAATCGCCTCTGGTCTCAGTCCTGCCATTTCTTCATTGTCCCTGTTGTGTCACTCGACTGGACCGTCTAAAATAATAATCTACAACAGTGTTTTCCAATCCGGTCCTCGGGACCTGCAGAGTTGGAAGGGAGCAAAAATGTGGACCATTGATGGGGCCCTGAGGACTGGATTGGAATACATTGATCTAAAATATAAAATGACACAGAAATGAATCTCCATTCTACATCTCACTAAGGACAGAGCCAGTTTTCATGTTTCTGATGGCCTACTCAAAAAGTCATTTCAGGGTCCCCCTGCCCCCCTCAGATATTTTAAAAATTAAGTGACTACCAGAGTCAGATCTCTCTATATTAAAGATAGCATGTTTTTAAATTACATTTTTAGTGTAGTGACTGTTTGTGGCCAACAGGGGGCACACACCTCAGGGAACCCATGCAAATGCATGGCTCGAGTGGTAGTAAACACTGCAGCTACCCACACATCCCGGACACTCACCGACTCGAAGTTTGAAGTCGTTGAAGGAATGCTTGTTTATGACGTCCAGCTTCCCCACCAACGCAAAGGCAAACTCCACCATGGTGCCGATGTGCATGTATTGCCTGTCATGGTCCTGAGAGGAGGTAGTACGTTACAGTCAGCTGATGCCATCCCTTTAAGAGGCAGATACGTCAACATTATCACTCAATTAACCATGATGTCTACAAACAGGGGCAACCGGCTGACGCTATCCCTTTAAGAGTCAATTACATCATCGATATCAAATGATAAAGGATGCTGTTCACAAACAGGGGCAACAAGTTTAAGCACTGACAGTAATCTGAGCCATTAAAATCATCTGCAGTCTGGATGGGCATATTTTCATTCCGCAGTGTTTTATGATTGATTACTCATTTACTGAATCACGCCATAGACAGACAGACTGCTGAAGAAGAGATTTATTAATTTATGTTGTGTCTTGCCTAATTCCTCAGCTAGCAGCTGTTCTGCAAAGACCCTAATAATGGTCTCAATCGCTGCTGTCATTTTGACTTTATTCGTGCCTCGCCCCCTGCTGGCCGGCATCATAAAACACCCTACATAACCCTGAATCTGTTTGGAAGTGATCAAGCCGTTTCAGCATCTTTTGACCAAGGCCTATACGTCAAAGACAGTCACTAAACCCTACATCCGCATCCCCCTCACGCTCCTTTATGGAAATGCAACCCCTCGAAACCCAGCCTAAGCATGTTTGTAGAAGCAACCGACAAAGTACTGAACTGAAAACCACACTAAGAAGTGGCTCTGCAGCTAAGAAACGGATGATTTTTGAACATATCCTAGCTGAAGTAATGGAGGAGTATAGGGGTACTGTTTATAGCATCCTGGTCAGAGAGAGCTGGGAGGGGCTGTAACCTGCCCCCACCTGTACCTCGCTATTTCATTATCATTCATGTTTTTAATTTCATCCCACCATTTATTAACCTCAGGTCAGAGTCTAATAATTTAATACAGGGAACAAACCACAAGGCTTAAAAAAAAACTCTGAAGCCATAATTAATAAAGGCTGTAATTACTAATCATGGGAGTCACCGAGGGCAGGAATGATTGAGTGTAGGGTACCTTTCTATTCTCACAGCTGGCACGTTCGGCTCCCCTCCTGAACCGAACCCTGGGCTGAAACCAGCCGTGGAGCGGCTCGGAGCACCATACCTGCGAGTACTCGGGCCCGGGTGTGGCGTTGAGCCCCGTGGCTGCCATGTAGGTGCTGCCGATGGTCTTGATCTTCTCTACCCCACTGAACTTGGGCTTGGACAGGAGCTTTGTTCAGAGTTAATACGTGTTAATCGCCAGAGCATCACACCAGGGGCAGAGTGTAGAGTACTCTACATTCTACTCTACACTCTACTCTACACTCTGCCCCTGGTGTGATGCCCTGCTCTGTCTGCTTCCCGGTACAAACCCTTCACGATCAGGCCGCATTTTTATTATAAACTGCAAAACGAAGATGATTCTCCAAGGTCTGTAATCTGATATGTTAAACTGCTCCTTCATGAAATGTCCCCAACAGCACGAGTGAATCTTTTTAATTACAGTCACGATGTTTGTCGCCAGTGTAGTTATTACCAACCCAGTAGCTTTCCGAGTAATTAAACACGTATTCCGCCCACTGGTACGCCGCAAGCACCTCGTCAAAGTCCGCGATGATCTCGTTCAGCAGTCTGAGACATTCCAGGCCTTCTTTGTTGACGTCCGACTCGGTGTAGAACTCCTTGAAGTCTGGGATGGAGGCGAACATCACGCACACCAGCTCATAGGACTGGTGGTAGAGATCCTGTTAGGAATGCAGCAAATCAAGCGCAGGAGCATCAGTCCACTGACCAATGAGATTTGGGTTTATACCAGGTAGAAATCTCTCAGATTTAAACTGACACATTGTGGGCTTTTTGTTCTCATAATTCAGCTGTGAGCCTTATGATCCTGATACTGGTGGATTTGCATTGAACTAAAGGAACCCACCCCAAGCCGCCCCCCACCTCATTCTTCCAGTTCCGGGCCAGGAAGTGTTCTGCCACGTGGGCCGGCAGGACGTTCTCCAGCAGGACACGGTTCAGGTTCTCCATGGTCTCGATCTCCTCACACTCCTTCTTGAACTTGTTCTTCCACAGGAAGTCTAACCTACAGTAATATTCATTCTGTTACAAGGAGACACAGAGGTAAAGAAAAATAACAGACATCTGATCACCTCGCTCTGTGCGATGACAAGACACAAACAACAGTGACGTCCCGCTGCGGAAGGCGACCGTGAGGCGTACGGGCCACTGGGCCGGGTCGTGTCCTGGTGCCGACACCGGCTTGCGTAAGATACAGGAGATAATAATCTGAATGTACAGATCAGGCCTTGCCAAGGCATTACTGTCATTGGCAGACAGATCCACCATGGGGGACCGGGGGGGGGAGCACATATTAGGTTTCAGACTAGCTTTCAGGAGGTAACAGTCCTGTTCAGGCACAGGATCGCACCTCGAAAGGCAGCCATTTTAGAGGGAATAGTTAAAGCGCTCACACTGCTCTCAAGTTGTGGAATCAGTGTTGCAACAAATCAGACCTGTTGCCAGAAGTAAGAGTTATACCCCCAAAGCTGCCTAGATAAGTTGGTATTTACATCCCATTAGTCTTAATAGTACTTATTTGAAATCTTTCTCAGGATAGGAAGGTTTCATCCAGGGACTGGTGATATTCCTGGGACTGAGAGACTAGGCCCTCGTTAAGAAGATCCCAATCAATTTACTTAGTTAAAGAGGTGGTGGAGCTTTGGTCTCACATGCAGGGATTTGTTGGAATGTTTGTCAGAGGAACAGCTCACCTGTCTGGCCAACACAAGCAGGGTAACAAAAAATATGAAGAGCCACACGGATCCCATCGTCTTCAAGTCCTTCAGAACTCCCGGCCTGGAGGAGAGAAAGTGATGGAGTGAAATGAATATGACAGAAACTGATACGACACTCTAGTGTTTCCTCTCTCGCCTGGAGGTCGGGGAGCTTCTAGGATCATGCTGAAGGATGGAGATTTGGCACCAAACGCCTCCTTGTTGAGGGGACATGGAGATGGAGAGCCTCTGTGTTTATACAGAATGCCGGAGAAATCAAATACATTAACGTGCCATTTCCCCACAACCCCGTGTTATAAAACTTGTGGCTTCCTGCCATTAGGATTAGGCCTCTCACCTTGGATTTTCATAAAACTGCAACAGAATACAGTACCAGGATTTTGTGGGAAGCAAAAGCCTGGAAACAGGTAAAGGGTGAGGGGGGGGGGTGGTCTCTCTCTGAGTAAATGTCCTAACGTAGGAATGTTGTCGCTCAAAGTCATACATGTCAAGTGTGTTCATCCTGAGGTCAGAAACACGCGACACATCTTCACGGCACATATGTTCTGCTCTCCAGTGTTTTCCATCACGAACCGGAGCGCAGAAGTCTCCTGGTGGGTGAGATCACAGGGTTTTTTTTTTTTAATGGAAGGCGACAGAGCGAACTTGTCTGACTTGGTTCCCAGCCTTCGCACTGCTGTGGGAAACTCCAGGGCAGGAGCTGCTGATGCTCATTGTTTGGTACATGGAGGTAGCAATCGAATCAGAATCACTGAATACAATAGCTGAATATAATAACTTCTGTTGTTGGCGTGATCTGTGTATTAAAAAATGCCGCCCGCGTAGCTGAACACAGACGACAGGAAACGTGTTATTTTGAGCTTCTGGTTGGCCATCAGGAACATTTTGCCTCTGAAGCAGTGCACCAGGTAGAATGCAGACAGGTTAACGAGCCTCAATAGAGCAGCAAGCTCCTGACGCAGCACCGCATGCAGCACTGCATGCAGCACTGCATGCAGCACTGCGGACAGTCCTGCAGAAGCATGTCACATAGCCGCGTCAGGGGTACATTTCTGCTTGAAAAATTTCCCAAGGTGCAGATCATGCTGATCAAACAAAAGCTTTAACCGGGTTCTTAAATAACAGACAACAGACAAGACTGAGGGCCTGAGGCAATGAAAGGGAACAGAGATGCAGTCAGCGGTCTGTGGCTCCACCATCAGATGGAAAAAGGCTCCGCAGCCATCAGAATGCACCCTGCAGCTGGCATGTTGTGCCTTGCAGATTGTGCCCTGCAGCCATAAGAATGCATCCCTGCAGCTAGCATGATGTGCCTTGCAGATTGTGCCCTGCAGCCATAAGAATGCATCCCTGCAGCGAGCATGATGTGCCTTGCAGATTATGCCCTGCAGCCATAAGAATGCATCCCTGCAGCGAGCATGATGTGCCCTGCAGGCATCAGACCGCACCACTCCGGAGAACATCAGCATGTCAGCATCAGGAACCACCTAACATCACAATGGGCTCACAGCAACATGACGCGTCCATTGTTTATGCCCTGTGGTCTGAGCTGTAGCTGATAAGCAGCATGGCACAGAGGATGCCAGGGGATGGGACATTTCTGCTAGAGTAAGAGAAGCAGGAGCCATTCTGAGAGCAAGCCCACTCACCTATCCAGAACCTGGTCCTGGTAGAGGAAGGTGCTATAGTCATCCAGCACGGAGGCGTGCGTCTCGAGGATGATGACATTGTAGACTACCACAGCAGAGAGCATGATCACCATCTTCTGCTCATAGTTGACCCTCAGGAACACGGAGCAGGACACTAGGCCCAGAACACAGCTGTACACAAAGTACTGAAGGAGAGAAAGCGAGCATTAATGGGAACTGGGAGGGGCCGTAGGGCACATCTTCAGACACTCAAACCGGGCCACAAGCATGCTCCGATTTATCTGATGAATTCCACAAACAAACACTCTACAGTCACACCGACAATCTAGAAAGTTTCACCCTCCTTCTCTGAACTCAGCGGGACGATCTCTTCTGCAATCATGTGGAACAATTAATCATGAAGTCAAGTACTGAAGGGGCTGTTTAGAAAATAATTCAGGCCTGGCTCCGCTGTGAAGTATGCTGCCTGATTTGTACTGGCGAGACAGCGCGGAGAAGGTCGCTCGAGAGACGCGTGCACAGCCATTCCTTCAGGCCACAATGGCAACGTGTCACATCTGCGGCAAGGTGTCACTTTATATCACATTCGCTCCCTACAGCTGAGCTCCCACCAGGGCCCTCATTTCGTCACCATCTCTTCATGTCTTTTTTGGGATTTATTTTTTTCTAGTGCTGCGGTCAAAAATGTGACCAGAAAAAAAAAACATTTAAAGTGAATAGGAGTACAGCTGGGTGCAGGCAAGTGGAAGCCAAGAAAACTAAGAAAAAACACTATAAATATTCTTTTCTTGGTAATACATTGTGACAGATGCCAAAAATGTCTGCAATAATGGGCTGCAATTATACATTTAACGTGTGCCATTGTGACGAGGCTTACTGTGCTATTTATTCAGTAATCAGTAATATTGCTGCTATTTTTGGCTAAGGTTCACTGTACAGGGAAAGTAAGGAAAGTATTTAGAAGAACCTGTAGGGGTCAGAATAATGTTAACAGTACAGGAATACGGTGTTGATCTGAAATTTCTTGCAAACATGAGCAAACATGGACAGCAGGCAGAACCAGCTGATTGGCCACCTCTTCGGTCCGGCGTTTTACTTACCGGTAAGTAGAACTTATTGGTCTCCATGATCAGTTTCACCTGGGAGCTATAAGCAGTTTCGTTGGACGTGTTGGAGACCGAGGCCTCGGGTGATTTCTTGTTCTCCAGGAAAAACTGGAGGCCCAGGAAGGAGCATAAATCACTAGTCACTCTTTAGTCAAACATACATGTAATTAAAAATGTGGCTAAACAAATGAACCAAGATTTCTGGATGGGTACTTAGAGCACTAGAGCAGAGTATTAAGAGTGGAGTAGGTATGCTTATCCGGACGCTTTTCGCCGTGAATTCTGTATAGGCCCAGAAACGACTGGCTCACAGAAACCGTCAAAATGACAGGAAGCGCATTTCGCAGATAATCCCACATGCTATTCCCATTCAATCGGTTTGAGGGAAAAGGAAGATTTCAATCTTTCAGTTCAATTTCTGCTGAAGCCTCAAACTTTGTGACACACAAATGTTATCTTGGGTTCCAGATGGCTGAGCTTCGAGCCTGGGGAGGGAAGCTGCCTGTTATTTTGACACTCTCCTCCCAATCCTATTTTTAAAAACCACTCTAATGAGCTTCTCCCAGGAAGGTTTAATTTGGAAACAAGTCAGACGGATAAAAACCTCATAACCCCTGGCACTCCACATTAATCTCTTACATCGACATTTCTTAAATCCTCCAGTGGAAATCGCAGTAAGTATTTCACATTTGGTTTCTGGTGTGTTTTTTGCGAAACTCATTGGCTGGTTCAGGCATTCCATTCTTTCCAGTAAATGGTTTCCCTGTAGATGTACTGGTAACACTGATCTATTGTTAAATGTCGAGCGGGACCAATTATTAAAACACAGTGGTTTCAGCTGGAATTCACTCCAGTTCCAGGAAATCCAAACTGAACTGGAGCAGTGCAGGTTTAAATGCTACAGTTCATATAAAAACGCAACCGGGTTAGCTAATTAAGAAAACAAATCAAATTATGCTTGTAATTTGTCGGAGAGCTTTGCTGGTGGAACATTCATAAGGCGGAGAGTCGAGAAGGCAAGAGGCCACCGGCTGGGCACTTACCATGTTGAACACGGCCATTATTAGTATGAGCGCGGTGGTTGCCACGGTGACGGCCAGCCGCGGCCAGGGCCGGTTGGCGATGATTCTGGAGGAGCTCAAAATCCACACCAACGGGTTTGATGTGCCCTTGGTGCATTCCTGAGGAGGAGAGAGGGGGAGGAGCTCAGCCCGGCCCAGCGAAAAACCCCTCTTTAAATGCGCCACTCCCTCCAGGGTGACCGGCCCGTTACCATCCAATAAGACGACACGCAGCCTTTCTAATCTGCAGATCAAAAGCAATCAGTCTAATGCTAGAAATATTAGGGCTGGCTTTGATATCCATGCGGCTTTGAAGGAGCCCCATTTTCACGGTAATCAGATGACTGTCGGGTCACGTTTGTTTTAGCAGGCAAAACGGCGGCACGATTCCAGCGGCCTATCGACGCACCATAGCCGGGGTCTGCCCTGGACGGCACCCAGGCATAACGCCCCCCCCCCCCTCCCCCGACCCCGCCGGTGAGCAGAGCATCACAGAGTACTCGTAAAAATGGTCATATTATCCATGATTCTATGATTCCCCTCTTTCAGTGCTCTTTGTTTGATGATGGGAATCAGACCCTGTTATGTGTGTGTTCCATTTGCACGCTGATCAAGCTTAAGGCTGGTTCATACTTCTCTGCACACGTACTAGCGGACGTGTCCGCGAACGTTCATGACGTCACTGTGCGCCTCCGCGTATGAGCGCCTGCTACGCTCCAAATTTGTGTCTGTGCAGCTCTGATCGATTCATTAGTGTGAACTTTAAATACCGACACGGATACTTTTGGCGAGCGTTGGGGTAGTTTGCAAAAACCCTGCACACTATTTACTGAGTAAGAAAACTGCTACATACATGTAAATGCGTGTGCAGAAAACCTCACGCCAGCCAGCTGACCAAAGTTGCCAACCCTGTATGCTGGCTCTCTGAATTTGTAAAACATAGAGAAATGGACACAAACCTCAATGCTGTGGTTGTGTGCAGGGAATATCAGAATAATAATTTACATTATCATAATAATTATTATTAATAAGAATATAAATACAGAACGTTCTGCGCATGTGAAAAGTACGCGGCTTGACCAGAGAACTACGAAGGTTTCTGTGTACGCGTACGCAGCGTGGACAGGCGAGTGCCTGGCCTGTTCGGAGAAGTATGAACCAGTCTTTAGTCTCCTTCTTTGGAGGTGAACAGCAGGAGTGAGCCAGCACTCAGCTGGGGGGGTGGGGGGGACCCAGGATGGGACACCCTGATTGGCTCGGACCGGGTAGCAGAGATGCCTGGGACCCGGAGCCGTCGGCAGGAGAAAGGCCGGGTCCATCGGTCACGGAGGAGTTCAGTCAGTGGTTCTGAAACCCTACGGGAAAGCCTGGCTGGGTGGGGGTGGGGGGGCGTATTAGAGAGGCACCCATGGCTCCGGGGGAGCTTGGGGGTGTTGAAGTCCATCCCGTCCCCTATGGCTGGCAGACAACTCCACTGGTAAACACCAGCCGGCTGAGTGTTAGTGCCAGTCAGCTTCATGCTGCACAGTCAGACTGTCAGGCAGTTGTGGTTATGATGCCACCACTGTGACTATGGGCGAGCCTGCTGGGCCCCCCCTGGACAGGGACCCTCTGTTACTGCTATGCCTGGGGGAGTAGCCATTAGTTAGGGTCATGAGCACAGCTGCCCACTGACTGTGCCCCTGAGAAGGATTATCCTGCCTGTGTCATGATAGGCTGTGCTGAAATACGACTTAAAAAACAAATTCTGCAACACAAATCCCGTGATGGACATCCAGGGTGTCTCCTCTAGGATAGGATCCAGGTCTTTGTGATCCCAGCTGGACAGACGGCTGATGATGCCTGGATGGCAGGTGGATGGATGGACGGGTGCCACTACTCACCGTGAGGTGTCCCGCAAAGCAGATGAGCAGGATAAGGGAGAGCAGGATGAAGGCCACCCCAAATGACACACCTAGGATCGTCGTCCTGCAGCAAATTCAATCGCAGGGTATCAGTCTTCGAGCCACAAACCTGACCACCGTGAGTCTGACCGCCGTGAGCTGGATCGCTGTGAGCCTCACCGGGCAGGCAGAATGAAACTGAGATAACCTGCATTACATTCATCATTATCAGCTAATTATAGGGATAATGGAGATAGGGTGTTTTATCATGCAGTGAACAAGGCTTTCTTCCTTTTGGGATACGGGGTAACAGCAAGACTGTGAACAGATATGTCGTGTGATTTTAAAGCAGGAGGTTTAAAATATCCTGGGTCCAGAGCCCCAAACCCGATTTCCTCACAGCAATCACCCTGCTCCCTACACCATTCACCCTGCTCCCTACACCATTCACCTGCTCCCTACACCATTCATCCTGCTTCCTATACCATTTACCCTGCTCCCTACACCCTACATCCTGCATCCTACACCATTTACCCGGCTCCCTACACCCTATACCCTGCTCCCTACACCATTTACCCTGCTCCCTACACCCTACATCCTGCTTCCTACACCATTTACCCTGCTCCCTACACCCTATACCCTGCTCCCTACACCCTATACCCTGCTCCCTACACCATTTACCCTGCTCCCTACACCATTTACCCTGCTCCCTACACCCCATACCCTGCTCCCTACACCATTCACCCTGCTCCCTACACCCTACATCCTCCTTCCTACACCATTTACCCTGCTCCCTACACCCTACTCACTACATCACAGCTCCAGAGACACACCTCCATAGGGTCTAATGCAGCTCACTTACTTTGGCAGAACCAGGACCTGGACGATGAAGACACAGAAGAAGATAACGTACGCACACGTGACGTAATACTTGAAGGCTGGTAAGGTCATCGCCCTGTACTGTGGGGCAAAAACAAGTGCATTTCCATCACAGACGCTTCAGATGTGGCATTTTAACAAATGGAGCTTTTGAGGACCACGACATTTGAGTTTGTGCTCCTCGGGGGCTTTTGAACCCCTTAGCGAAACATTTATTTTGCTAAAATACAGGTTTCTTCCTACCTCTTTTTCCAGAGTCTTGTTATGAAAGAACAGGGAGATGCGCTGAATGTCTTCAGATTTCAGCCACTGCCTGAAATGGCAAAACCTCAGTGTTTGGTGGGGGCTTTCGCCATAAATGATGCACCATCATGGTCATCATGGTCCAAACAGCTGACAGCCATAAAAGCTCAAAAGGGGTTTAAGGTGAGATGACAGCACACACTCTAACGGTCAGCGGGGAGGGGAAGGCAGAGCTTCATACTTCTGAGAGTTGATGCCGTCAATGGCCCTAATCATCCTCTCATTCAGTTCCTCTTCAAATCTCTTTTTCTGTGATTTTGTCCTGTGGCGAATAATGAGAATTGAGATTTAAGCCCAGGGAAGCGTGACAGCATGGAGACGCAAGGTTGATGAGCGAGGTGAGTGCGAAGCAGAGAGACCCTCGAGGACCTGCCGGGAATTAACAAACGAAGCCTTATTCACTCAGAACCTCCCCGAGTTCCTCTGGTTGACCCTGAAGACTCTAGGTGAGGTTTTTATCTGAATACACAGGCACTAATCTACTGTGAGGTCATCATGGCACCTTGACCACACAAACAGAATGAGAAAAGCTGGATCCTGAATTTCTATCTGCTGGAAACAGCAAACATTCCCAGGGCCAGATCCTCTCCCGTTGCAGGTTTGAAGACCCAAAAAGGCACCCAGAATGTTGTTATCCAGCAAAGGAAACATAAGATCCAAACACAGTCGCCACTGATGCAAATCATCTACTTTTAGAGCCTGTTTTCTTATTGGCCATGATTTATAAGTAATGTTTATAAAGATGTATTTACTTATGAATAATTTATAGAAGCCTTACCAAGGAAAATTTGTGTAGGTCCTCTGTCTAAATTAGGAAAGTAAGGTGTTTACTGTAAAGCTGCTCTTTATTTAGTAAATGATGACGTTACGGTTGGTAATTGTGCTGTTCATACTACAGAAACATCATGAATGCATGCAGACATTTGGAGAGCCCTGTTACCCACCTCTCTGAGCGCCTCTGAAAATTATACTGGCCCATCGGCACATCCTTACAGACAGAGAAAACAATGTATTTTAGCGCATGGTCTGCATTTCACTCGACACAATTGCGTCGGACAGAAATACAGTGACTTCACAGAAATTCAGTGACTTCACAGAAATACAGGGACTTCACAGAAATAGAGAACCCAAGCACTCATCCCTATCCCCACCCTGCACACAGTGTTCACCGTATTCAACCCCATTTGGGTGAATATTCACACAGAATCAGTACTCGTGTTTAGTAAGGGGGGGGGGGGCAGGGTGTGACTCAGAGGGCTAAGCCTCTGTGCCTGTGATCAGTATTCGGGTGCCTCTCTTCCCATCCCATGTTGGGTCTCACTGACAGAAATCTCACGGGGGGAGGTAATTTTAAAACCGCTGCAGGTGGGGGATCACGGACGGAAAATAAGCAGTAGGTCCAGGGATTTATCTAATGCTAACCACAAGGATGCTGACAGGACATATAGCACTCTCTCTCCGCTGAGGGATGGGCGGGGGGCAGGTTAAGGTTAAGGGAGGTGCACTTTTTAAATCTATCTAACACTGGGAATGCCACCCCTCACCCCCCCCCCCCCCATCCACATGTCATATCACCTACTGCATATAAGTGAAATAAGCTAGATCAATCTGTAATGCGCTCTCTCATCACTTTCCTCCTGGCATGCACACAATCCCAGTACACACAGTTTGGGGGGGGGGGGCACTGACAGTGGTGTTGATCTTCCCATTCTCTGTTGTCATGCTGTCACGGTGCTGCAGGTGGGCGAATGGCTTGGCCGCCCCCCACGACTCCAGGTAGCGGGTCATCCGCACCGACGCCCTCATCTTGGCGCCGTCTGGCGTGGGCCGGAGCCGGCAGTGGAGCTGCGGGCTGTGCCTCTCTGCCTGCAGGGGGCGACAGAACACGGCTCCAGGCTTCACTGCTGCTCAGTCTACACCAGCCAGCACAAAGTGCTAGATTTGTTTTTATTAAATTAACAAAGTGATTGTTAACTTCAATTAACTTGAAGTCCTTTTAATTAAAGCACATTTTTTAAACCAAGCAGAACTGAAAATGTTCCACTGAGTCTTCCAAAGATGGACAGTTCAGGACGGCTCATGAACATGGTGGGCGTCTTGCCTTAGGGTTGATGACCAGGAAGGTGGTGACGCCGTGCTCCTTCAGGTAGGTGTCTCGGTTCTGCCCATCACCTTCCTCCACCTTGTACGCCCCATTCAGGTGCTCAAGAGTGACAGAGGAGATGTGGACCCGCCTGAGAGGGGAGCCAGAGAGCCCGGCAGCATGGGCTGAGTGACCCACCTTAACACTACCTGAAGATCACTCAAACTGCGCTGATTTCTGGAAGAGTGTAATTGAAGTGATGCCCAAAAGATTTACCACAGTACCACATGAACATGCTTATATTGTAAGATTATCATAATAATTATCAAAAATATATTTCTTATTTCACCCTGCATAGAACAAGTGGGTATAGAAAAAGGATGGCTGGATGGACAGATGGATGGATGGATGGCATTTCATATCTCACTTCTTATCCGGAAGCTACTCACACATACACCACAATCAAAACATGTAAAAATATGTGAAACTGTAGCATTATTACAGCCCATTTGGCAGCCAAAAACTCAAGTAGTCGACCTATAGAAATAAACAAACAATGCATGAGTTCCGCTCACCCAGGTACACCACCTGCCTCCATGTGATTAGCTAATGTGACATCATGTGACCAGACGTCATACTGCCACTTCTGAAGGCCAATGACACCACACAGGACGTTTCCAGAATGCACTCCCACCCTCATGTTAATGTCCGCTCCGGTGGCAACCCGAACCTTCCTGTAAAGACGCAGAAACATGTTCTAACATTTTTAGAAAACTTTAATTACAAACACAATAACCAAAAAAAAAACAAAAAAAAAAACAATACATTTTCCACTTTAAGGGCAGAAAAATACAAGCTTATACAATGTATCATTGCATATTTGTTAAGAGTGCCTGGCCACTTCTCTGTTGAATCCCATACTTTTTAAAGCACGAATAATCGTTCTGGTATTTGAAATGTCTTTAAACGAATGTTTTCTAGGAATTGTGTTATGGTTTAGCCTAATTAGCCTAACCAACACCTTGCAGACAATCAATATTCCTTAATTTACTTGTTTACAGCAAGTTTGAACGAAACATTTAAATGATTTTTTTTCTGATTCATACACGGCTTTAAGTATCTGAATGTAGCCTAATTTATTCATAGCGTTGCTGGAATTTGCAGCCCCAAGGTTAGTACAGCACTAATATGCAAATCCAGATGAGTTCATATTGCGTTTTTTCTCCATTTTATTTTAAACCATATGTAGGAAAAAATGAAACGCACTACGTCTTTGAGGGGTTTAGGAAAATAAATTACATGTACAGTATGTATTATGTTTTTCAATAAAAACCACAATCCGAAATGTCAAAGCATAGGTCTGTCTGTAAAGCGAACAAAGTAGCATCATTACAGGAACGGAGACCCACGTGGCAGATATATATGCGAAATCGCGGAATTCAGTGTTATTTCTATGCAAAGTATGCCGCAGTTTCACCTAAGGTCTCTCTGATCGTAGCTTAAATCCGTTTATCTGCAGGTCCTTCCGCTGCATGTCAATATGGGGAAGCAGACTCGTTAGATTTGTGATCAGCTGGCTCTTAATCACGGAGCCGTAATTAAAGTCATGCTTTACGTAGACCGGTGGTTAAGTTCGCCCTACATCACGTTAACTGTTTCCGATTCAATCAGCTCCAGGAGCTTTGAGGAGTTGCAATCATTAATTTGATTATTATTTTTTTTTTTTTGTAATTTAGATCCGCAGTTTTGTGAAGCTGGGCATCGATCGCCATGGCGGTAGTGGGGAATGCGTATTGTCTGCTCATTTTATTTTCTCCCGGGAGCTCACTGGAAATTGTTATTTTTACACTGTCACTTTACTGTTCTGAATCACAACCACTAGTCTCTTCAATCGCACCACCTCACTTCAATCGCACTTTAGAGAGTCACTATGACACTTTATATTGCTGTTTAGTTCCAACATATAGATTCTTGTTCATCCTATATTTATTGCATTTAATTACATAATTACATAATTGTTGTTATTGAACTATACTGCTGTGAGACGGTCTGGTCTAGTCTGCTGGGAGGGTATGTAAGGAAGAATTTGGACATGTTCACAGAGTGCAACATACACCTGACAATAAAGCTTTGAATTGAACTGAATTAATTTGAAAAATTCTGTAAAACACCCATGTGAAATCTTACAAAAAAGCCTCTCTAATGAGGGCATTTTCACAGCATCTGCAACACCAATCACCCCACGTAGCCGCAGAAAGTTTCTGCAAATTTATTTAAATTCACTACTTTCGCCTGATATATGTTATTGCATATTACAAAATTAAGCACAACTTTGTGTAGCTTGCCACACCAGTATATAAAAATAACGAGGAAACTTTAAGTAAAAAAAGTAGTGGGATATTTGCGTGAATCTCCGGGGTATATATCTGTATCCATATCACTGTTTATGTACATTGCAGACTCTGGACCAATAATCTTATCATTTCCATTTCCCTTTGTATTTACACAGCAGATGGAGTGGCTGGTGGTTGGAGTGGAGACTGAGGGCAATAAATAAAGATTGCACCCCCCCACCCCGGCACCCCCCCAGCGTGTTTGTATTCTGTATCCCATTCCCAGCATGTTTCTGACACATATCTGGCACCATCCATGTTTAAGTCCTGAGGGACCTTCAGCAATTCTGCCTCATTATCCTGTTCCTATAATGGAGGTTACTTTATTGACGCCCTGTTGAATATTTTAGTGCCAGCATTTAAGATGAAGATGAAGAGGACGTCATTTCCAGGACTTATTACTCAGCTGTTAGAAAATGGGTAACGGAATGGAATGATTTCGATGCAGATTTTCAAAGTATGTAAACCGAATGCCTTCACATATTAGCTGGCATTTGGAGTCTCAAGATACACAACTGGGCATTTAAATGCAAATACATGCTAGTGCAATTTCTGCTTTTCGGTGCAGATTTCGACCATATTCTGTCCTCTGAGGAAATGCAAAGCTTAAACTCCATACCTCAGATTATCAGTGGCTTACAGCTCTATGATGCATGTCCTGCTAATTAAGGTTCCACTTAAACTTAAATTTCAAGTGACTGGCCTGTACCATCCCAAGAGAACTGGCCATATTTGTAAGGAATTCAAATCCCTCCACTCCTTTATTGGATCACGTACCTACATAAAGAGCTTCTGCCTGTAATTAGAAATCCAATGTCAGAGATCCTAAAACAAGATTATCTTCTGGGTTAGTGCCCAAGATGCTCAACACACCAATAATCATAACCCTTCTCATTCATCTATGCCTGTTTCAGTCCAATCCTGTGTATTTAAAAGTTCAGACCGGGATATTGTTTCAACCAACCAGTTGAGTACTGTGACTCTTTATACTCGACTGGTTGGTTGAAACAAAATCTTGGTCTGGACTGTTACTATCTGGACCTGAATTACCCAACTCTGGCATTTAACGTTTTAGAGATCTGTGTCTGTCTTTACAATCCAGCAATGCATATCATTTGAATTATTGATTAAAACTTTAATTTGACAGGAAGACTAAGTTGGCAAGGTCACACAAATGATGTCATCAAAAACTCCTATCTGTCCTATTTAATTAAGGAACAACAGGACTTAATAAGGTGGTATGAACAGCATGAGAGAGATGAACAAAAACATAATGTCCTCTATAGAAAACAAAAATGTCACTTTTGACCTTGCTCTCAGGAAGACATAGTGTCGGCTTTGGTGGGCTGGTGTTTCCCCACCTAGGCTATGGGTGATATTGTTGGCCATCAGAAATATATTATTTTAGTTGCTTCTAAGTGGGTCAATGCAGAAATTGCTGTGTGGCCTTGCAGGTAAGCACTCTGTGCCTGTGATTGGAAGGTTGCTGGATCAAATCTAATAATAGATGCTTGGGACCTTAACTGCAGTGGCTCCAGGGAGAGTCGGACTCTGCTTTCTCAACTGTATGTCACACTGCTGTAAAAATATCTACATTCACGTCCCTCGCTGTTACTGTTGAAGTGTTAAGAATTTTTCAAAATTTTTCTGTTTCTATGGAATTGAGCCAAGGTGTAAGGATCTCTGTTCCCATGACTACGTTTTTTATGACATTCTCATATCCCACTGCAAAGACGCTTCTTTAATGTGTCTTCATCTGGGGGAAACTTGTGATCTAAAAGTCAGTCGTGCTGACCAGAGCACGGATACTGAGCCAAACAGCCATACTTTTGCCCCGATTTTGCATATAATCCCTCCATTAGCTGTTACCACCCATGTTTTTCATTTGCCTGTCTCCAGTAAATGCAGCAGCTGACTGATTGATTAAACACCCACTCCGCTAATAGGAAACTTAATGATATGTATAGCCACCTCCAAAGTATCCACAGTAGTGGAAACCTAATCTTTATACATGCATATTTTACTGTCAACTGAGTAAACACACACAACAGAAAAAATGAAATGTGACACTGAGGAAAATGGCAAATATATATTCGGTTTATAAAACTGGAAAAAAGTAAGTAAAACTGAGAATGTAAAAGTAGTTAAACCCTTTGGAATAAGTAAGAAAAAGAATGACACCTGCAACTTCTCTGTTAATTAATCTACGGGAGATTTAATGGGCCGCATGAGGACCTTAGTGAGGTTCTGAGCACGCTCCCTGCTGAACTTTGAATTTCTAATTGTGGGTTAAATACTTTCAATATTCAGAAGTCTTCACGTCACCTGGTTATTGTGGGTTAGTGATTTCACTTCTATTCCCATAACTTTGCAAGGGAACCAAGGATATTTGTTAGGTTGACCAGATAATCCATGTCAGGGAGACACTATGGGCCAATTCGAGTTGTACAAACTACCTTAAAACTGAAAGGCTCCTGTGTTTGGCTAAATAGTTCACTTCTTCTTGTGCTCTGACTGGTTTGTTTCCTTGACTGAAAGACTGTTTCACATTAACATTAGTGACACGTGCACGATTACAGGAGACTGACAAATCAGCACACAGCAAGAACTCAGTGCTAAAGTGAAATCCAGGTCCTCTGAAATCCTATCCAAGGTCCAAGTGTCCCCCCCCCAACGTTGATTTCCTGGCCACCCTAGCGTTTGGATACTCACGTTATGGCCTCACACATGTCCAAGCCCATTTTCACACAGTTTTTGGCATGATTGGGCAGGTACTCTGGGAGGCCGGAAACGCAGTAGTAGCAGTCGCCGAGGATTTTAATCCTCATGCAGTCATTCTCCTGAAAAGAGGTGTGAGAGATGGAGGGGGGAAAAAAAACATGAAGACGGAAAGTACAGCAAGGCCGCTAACCCTAACCAGCTAGCCGCAGGTGATGAGTCAGCAGCTGCAGTCAGAATGCTAACGCTCGCAGGAAAGTTTGACCTGCCAACACAAAGTCGGTCTGAGTGTAAACTAACGCTTCACCTCACCACAGCACTGGCGCCCTAAAAGGAATCAGTTTCCCTTCGGGAACGGCACCCCCTTCAGGTCTGTGTTAGGCTGTGCGGCTTAGCCATCCTCTGCCATATTCCCTCCTTCCCACCCACAGTGTTCCCCTGTCACATGACCCAGACCCCGGTCGCGGTGCGAGGGAGCCCGTACCTTGGCGATCTGGTCGAATTTGCCGAAAAGCTCGTTGAGCATGTGCACCAGCTCTCCGGGGGAGCAGTCACTGGCCAGACGCGTGAAGCCCACGATGTCGGCGTACAGGATGCTGGGAGAGGCAGGACACACACACACACACACGCACACACACACGCACGCCCGCACATGCACCATTTTAATCTACAGTTTATATAAACTGATACTGTATAGCTTTTTGTCATGATATCAGCAAGTTTGACTCATGCATGCCTGGATCTGTGGTCACTCACAGACAGACATAAACACACAGCAGTATCTACCCTTGCAGCCTAGTCTGTAATATGGTCACATGACCTGACAGATCAGAGGTACAACATATGTAGGTTTCCTGTGCTGTTTTCATAAAGGTTTATAAAGCTGCGATGCTTCATTGCTGCCCCAGAACCTGCTCCTTCTGTCATTATTAACCCATGCAAAGGGGACCCCTTCGGACGGTAATCATGCATAGCTGCTTAAAACATTTTATATGACTAAACTCCAGTGGTGCATATGATCGTTCTACTGTCAGGATGGCAGGTGGTCCACCACTTCAAAACCCACCTCTAGCCTTTTCCCGGGTTCACGAATTGAACGCTTACAGGATTTTATTTACAGCTGAAGTATTAACAGCTACTCTTAGCCTGTAGCTGTAGGGCACTATAAAGTGCAAACATTTTGTTTATCGATTTCTGTTGAAATCACCGTTCCTGGGTTCAACTCACCGGTACTTTAAGTAACTTCCTGTGTCATTTTGGACAATAATAATATAGATCTAGGTGTTTTTTTTTTTTACAATAATAATATAGGTTGTTTTCCCACCTCCTACTGTATGGTAAAATGGTAGCTGCTTGAAGGACAAATGTGAAATGATACCAAAAATCACCCCTCCCTCAGTCTCACTCCATCCATTCTTCCCCCTTTTCTTTCTGTCTCTCAGTTTCTCTCTCTGTGGATGTTCAGCAATATGAATGTGCTATTTTCATTCTGTCTTCGTTGTTCTCGTTAAACTTTTTGTTGGCAAGGGCGCTATATACAAACCGGACGGAACCTGTCCGTTCCAGAGTCACACACCGAGGTATCAGTGACACACTCGTGCGGGCAGGTAAACAGCCCCCAGGAGTCATAACGAAAACTGTGCCACTGTCTTAAAAAGTGCCAGCCGGACCCTGATTGGTCAGAGTGAACCGCAGCAGTGAGCGAACCTGCTTCCTAGATCCGGGCCACGTCCCACCCCCAGGCTGGCCCCTCCTTCCTGTCCACCCGAAAGCAGTGACCTGTGCTGTCCCACTTGCATTAAAACACCCTCTTGCTTCAAACTGGATTTGTGTTTTCTGTAAGTAAATGAAATAGTCTCTGGAGCACTTTAAGTATCCCAGCCCATAAATCATCAAGGACCACAGCCCTTGAGCTAAAGTACATCATAAAGATGATGGACCTTCAGGGAAAGATCTACTCCCATATCCAGAATGTTTATTAGGAGGAGTGCAATTAAAATAAAAAAGCTTTAAAGCCCGAATATCACGCAAGACAGTGACGCCATAGACTCATCCATCCTACTTTTATATCAGCGGATCCTCAAATTTTGCCCCAAACAAGCTACCTGACGTTGGTGTGACGCTGCACGTAAAGGTTGTGGAAGTTGTTGGTGTTTTCGGTCTGTCCGAAGTTGGGCCCTTGCAGCCGGTGGATGATCTCAGCCTTCATGACCCGCGCGATGTGGGCAGGGAGCAGAGAGAGGAGCAGGCGATCCTGAAAGGTGCGGGGGGGGGGGGACCCCCGGCTGTGATACATGTGCGTAATTCAAAAACAAAGACGCGCGATCTCACGGAATAGCGCTCGGCTAACTCGGCCAAACAGTTAAATGTTAAACGTTTCCTATAAGCGTCACCTCAGCTGAATATCATCTTGTCAGCGCTGAAGTCTGGGTGAAGACCCCCCCCCCCACCCCCCAGCTCCCTCATCAGGCTACACGGTAAGCATGCGTGCTACAAACCCGAATCAATTACGCTACCGTTTCCTTCAGTGTCAGTAGTACATGTCAGGGTGTTCTTTGGTATTTTGGGAGTACTATGTATATTTGGGGGGGTGGGGGGGGTCTGGGCTGATTTAATGATTTGATCCCTACCTGCATTGAAACCAGTCCTATGTCCTTGGTACATTAACTATTATATGAAAGGTGCGGGGGGGGGCTAGTAACTGTGTAACTGTCTCTGGTAATAAACCAACTATCAATATGACAGATGCTACGTAGGACGCAACCGGCTGAGTGAAAGCAATTTGCTTCCGCTGATTGTCACTGTCCATGCGGATGCTCCAGTAACCCTCTGCTAATTTACTTTAGCTCATCATGCTTTGTGGATTATCATTTTAAATATTAGTATTGATCATTGTGCGGTGGGGTGTGTGTGGGAGATGCTGCGCTTTGTGGAATATTCACTACATGAGGCATTTTGATTATAATTATCTGTAACCTGTGATTAGTTAATCACACTGCTAACTAATATGGCTACAGATATGAGTGTCTGACAACGACAGCTACTGCTGCTACTGCTAATGATAATTGCCGGAGCCACATAATATCCAGAATGATTTAGAGTGATGTTGTGATGAAAATTAAACTCTGGGGAGCGTTAAGAGGTTTCATATTTAATTGGACAATTTTGTCACATTTCACTATTGATCAAAAGAATTATTAGAAGGTTGGAAGACAGCTGGTAACGTCGGTGTATGCAGGCAAGCATGTGACCTGTCCAGTGGAACAGACGGCTTGTCAGTTTATTCACACACACACACACACACACACACACACACACACACACATGCAGAACGAAATTAAGACCTGTTGGTGTTTCTCGAACTCCAGCTTCATGGGGGATTTGATGCAGTTGCAGGTGTCCTGGTACGTCTGCTTGAGGGCCAGCTCCATCAGATGCTTGTGATAGGCTCCAGTCATGCCGCCACAGACGAAGATGGTGATGTTGGCCAAAATCTGCAGGGGCGGCAGACCACTGAACATCTCCTATGTGAACCCAAGGACCTCAGTCTCAGCACTGTGGTCTATGGCTGACAAAAAAATAGATTTCCTTTCTCAATAAAGTCACCATAGTCATAAAGATGGTGTATGTCCTATAGATACCTGAATTCCCTGAATATAAGGAATTCAGTGTTTAATATGAATCACGGCAAATTGGCTGGAATATCCACTGGTTATGTCTGACTCAACACACAATGTTTCTGGGGCCTGACAATCCAAACACACCAAAATGGTGGAACTGGAAATATTATTCATTATAATTTTCTTATTCAGTAAGGAATTGTTAAGGGTGAAAAGGGGTTAAATTGAGTGTAGCTGTTTTCCCGGGAGGAATTATCCGTACATATTTGGTATATCATTTTCGGTTCGGTGCACAAAATGAAACGAACGAACACATTTGTTGACACAGGTAGAACCTAAATTCACATGTAGTTGTTCAATTATTAAAACATTATGCTAATTGTGGTTCTGAGATTGATATAGCTAATGCTGGTTATACTTAGTCATAATCAGCAGTTTAGAAACATTTCAGTTTCCCAATAAATTGAAGGGAAAGTAGCTGTTAAGACCAAGACTGCCTGTCGTCTGTAATAACAAATTCGTTTAGGTTGCTGGAAACGCATCCAGTTGTCATTTTAGACAACATCATGCAAATCAGCTTGTCTTGTTATTCAGATGTATCGTTGCATTGCCTTTGGTTCACAATTTTTTCTAATTGCGTTTGTGATTTTAATAACAATTAATCTCAAAACAAATTCTGTTTCCCTGCTGTACTGAAATTGCGCCAAACCATGAAGCCGAAGCCCAGGCTTGTACTGAACCGTGAATATCGTGTGCCGTTACACCCCAACACTAAACATGAAAGAATTGTGAAAAATGGCTGTTTAGTTTACACAGCCACTTTGTCATCTCTGTCTTTCCTGCCACATGGAAAGCTGTAGAAGGATATTTCTTTAGTCTTTTGTTTCAGATTGATTAAAACGCTGAGACACCCATCACTGTGGCATACTGGCTTGTAGCCTGGTTACTGTGAAGTGAGTCACACGCCATGACTTAAAAAGAGGATTGTTTAGCTATTGAAGAGCAAATATTCTTTAACCTTCACCACATTGTGACTTTGTTACAGTTTTAAAAATGAGCATCTTAAAACTGATAACTATGGGGCCCTCTGATGACTATGGGGCCCGCTGATAACTATGGGGCCCTCTGATGACTACGGGGCCCTCTCATGACTACGGGGCCCTCTGATGACTATGGGGTCCGGTGATAACTATGGGGCCCTCTGATGACTATGGGGCCCTCTGATGACTACGGGGCCCTCTGATGACTATGGGGCCCTCTGATGACTACGGGGCCCTCTGATGACTATGGGGCCCGGTGATAACTATGGGGCCCTCTGATGACTGTGGGGCCCACATTGGCATTTCTGTACTTGCTTTTTGTGTTTAATGATCACTCCCATAAGAGGTTAGCATAGCAGAGGTCGGGACCTGGTCACCTGGCCCCTTAAGACCTCACTTCATTAGCCTACCAGGTTGGCATTCTAGCTGTGAGAGTCTTAGCGATTTGATTTCAGGGCCTTGCAGAAAAACGCAATAAGCATGAGCTGATGTGCCAGGTGCTGGAGGAGGCAGCCTGTTTACTTTCCCGCTTGTTAGACCCCTGCTGATCCACCGGCTGTTAGGGAAACTCTGGGGAGCTTCTCAGTGAGAGAACATGGGCTGGGGTTCTCAAGGCGAAATTAAGAGAACATGGAGCGTTTCTGTCTGGACTGTCAGTCGGGGAGCGTCCAGACGACAGTGTATCAGCCGGTGAAAGTTAACAGTCGCCTCTAGGGATAGTGTACTAATCTCCTTGGGGTTTCCAAGGAGATTTCAGCTCTTGTGCAGTGTGTGTGTGTGGGGGGGGGGTGATGTACTCCAAGCAGCACGGCTGGGATGGAGCACTGGAACAGACAGCCGGAGCGCCCAGTAATGTGAGAAATATGGCCTTCAGTGAAAAGCCTCAGGAGCCAATTAGAAAGCATGTGCATGCTTACACCCCCCCCCCTCCCCCCACCCCGGGGCAGAATCACGTAATGAAGGGGTTTAAAATGTTAAGGGGGAAAATTCAATTATATGAAAATGAATTAAAACAATGTGCGTTTGAACTACCGACTGGGCAGAATTGTGTCTGGCTGTAAGTAGATTCATCTCTGGCAAAAGAATGAAGTATTTTGTGTTCTTTCAACTCTAATGGAACAAACACCCGGCTTTAACTCCAGATGTAATGATGATACTCTGCCTGTATTACATTTGTAAAAGTATTTCAGAATTCTTTGACTCTCCTACTAGACTTGGATAGAAGGGGTTCAGGCCTAAAAGGGCCAGTGATGTCATCACTCTACCAGCCAGGGGATGCGAACCATGACCTTCCAGTCGCAGGCAGAGAGCCCTAACCAGCAGGGCAACACCATAATGGGCTATGCAAGGAAATCATTATTTAGGTGCTATTTAGCAGTCAAATCTCATCCGAAGCTCTCGCCCTACACTAAACTGTAACTGATTCTTGTACTTTATACGTGCAGCTGATGATGTGTTCTGAGTTCTGAGATACCAAGGTCCATCACCAGAATGACGCAGTAATTAAATCACCGTGACGATACATGATCAACACCATCAGGAAGTGCAGAGTCCCGGCCTCACATGACATCTGGTGACAGGGGAATCACATGATGGCAGGCGATAGAGTCACATGGGAAGCGAGGCATCAATGTTTACCATAAAAACACACTAATTTACCATCAATTAATGAATGAAAGGTAGGCAGGTGGTTGCCCTGGCAACACCTTGTTAGCTCGTTACCTCGGCTGTGTTTACTCACAGCAGCGGAGAGCCGGTGGGTTGCCTGATATTTCACCATATGCCTCCAGAGCAGAAACACCACACTGCTGCTGTTAATCGAACCAGAACGAAAAAAAACTCTCGAGGGGAGTGGTGTTTGAAAGAGTAGTGCATAAAAGAAAAAAATCATTTAAACTTTTACTGGGGGGTGGGGGGGGGGACTGGAATCTATTACAGGCAGTGATAGGCACAAGTATGGCATTCAGCATGGACGGGATGCCAGTTTATCACAAGACACACACACACACACACACACACACACACACACACTCTATGGGAAATTCAGAGATGCTGACTCGCCTAATTACACCAGATAGTCTGGAGGAAACCTGCAGAGCAAGGGGAGAACATAGAAGCTCCACACACAGAGAGCGGAGACAGGATTCAAACCCCCAACCCTGCAGGTGTGACTCTACAGCACCACCTACAGAGCCACCATGCTTTTAATAACCTGTTAGGACAAAAGCTTCATATTTAATAAAAACATCAGAGTAATGTGCACTGTCTGAAAAAAGTCCTTTAATCCACCGGGGGACACAGAGTGGCCTTTCTGGGGCGTCTGCCTGCAGACTGCGCATTTTCTCTGGCCGTGCGTGTCTCTGTGTGTCTCTCTGCGTGTCTCTGTGTGTCTCTGTGTGTCTCTGTGTATCTCTGTGTGTCTCTGTGTATCTCTGCATGTGTCTCAGCGTGTCTCTGTGTGTCTCTGTGTATCTCTGCATGTGTCTCAGCGTGTCTCTGTGTATCTCTGCATGTCTCTCTGCGTGTCTCTGTGTGTCTCTGTGTATCTCTGCATGTGTCTCAGCGTGTCTTTGTGTGTCTCTGCATGTCTCTCTGCGTGTCTCTGTGTGTCTCTGCGTGTCTCTGTGTATCTCTGCATGTGTCTCAGCGTGTCTCTGTGTGTCTCTGTGTATCTCTGCATGTGTCTCTGTGTGTCTCTGCGTGTCTCTGCATGTGTCTCAGCGTGTCTCTGTGTGTCTCTGTGTATCTCTGCATGTGTCTCTGTGTGTCTCTGCGTGTCTCTGCATGTGTCTCTGCGTGTCTCTGCATGTCTCTGCGTGTCTCTCTGCGTGTCTCTGTGTGTCTCTGTGTATCTCTGCATGTGTCTCAGCGTGTCTCTGTGTGTCTCTGCATGTCTCTCTGCGTGTCTCTGCATGTCTCTCTGCGTGTCTCTGTGTGTCTCTGCGTGTCTCTGCGTGTCTCTGTGTATCTCTGTGTATCTCTGCATGTCTCCCTGCGTGTCTCTGTGTGTCTCTGCGTGTCTCTCTGCGTGTCTCTGCGTGTCTCTCTGCGTGTCTCTGTGTGTCTCTGCGTGTCTCTCTGCGTGTCT